ATTTTTTTTTTCAACGGCAGACCTGGCCGCGCGGCGCCTCTGAGTTTTGCTTCTGGCGACAAAAACTTGCTGCAAGGCTGGGGCCGTGTACTAGCGGTTTAAACCACCAGTACTTGGCCCAGCTATCCGCCGAGGAAAAAAGAAGAGTAGAAACATTTCTAGTCGGATCAATTTGCGCGCTCCTGTAGTGGCCCGTACGTTTCCTAAGAACGTGGCTTGTTCGCGGGCACGACTTTAGGAAGTACTACTGGTGGTTTAAACGACCAGTGCCTTTCCCTGCTTGAAAAACACGCCCGCCAGTTAACACGGAGGCAGGCAGGTTGGGACTACCGGCGTGAAATGGCTGGTGGCGCCAGCCAAAACGAGGCCCCCATCGATTCATTTTTTCTTGAAGAGCACGACAGTTTTAGGCTCGGCATCGGTAGCTGAGAAAGGTACTGGTGGTTTAATCATGCTCACTTACTCCTGGTAGACTTCTCCAGGCAGGTTCACACGGACCTTGGTCGGTAAGTTATGTGACACATCGATCAACAAAGCGTGTGACATCCATACGAGCAACGATGCAGACTGATACACCAATCATTGGCGTCAAGATGTCGAAGATAAGAATGAGAAAAGAAAAGAGCCACCTACCGACAGGCCTAGCTCAGTCGGTACACCATTAAACTGTTGAAATACAGACCTGAGTTCGACTCCAGATAAAGGAACTAGATGATTGAACTCAAATACTTCTAAACCCGGGTTGGTCAGTATGAGGATAATATCTGAAAGCCATCACCCTTTACAGAAGAAGAAAAAAAAGAGCCACCACAGAATTCCTTACTGAGTCAAACATTAAAAGAAGAGAAATGAGTCAAACATTAAAAGAAGAGAAAATAAAAATCGAGCTAAGGCACTCCCCTTTAGAATTGAACCCCTTTAAGCCCCATTTATACCAAGCCCTCCCCCCCCCCCTCCCAACGGACAAACCGAGAAACGAGAAAGAGCCTGCATTTGGGCTGGCTTCAGGTGGGTGCAGGAAAGCCCCACCGACGGAAAATAACAACAACAATAATAATAATAATAATAGCAATAATAATAATAATAGCAATAATAATAATAATAATAGCAATAATAATAATAATAGCAATTCCCAGACTTTCTACACGCCCGGGGTACCCCTGGCAAGCAGGTACCTGAGCCAACTGCATGGGTGCCTGGCTTGGCACTCTTGCTAGCCGAGCTAAAAATATTACAAATGGGATTTAAAAATTGGCATGGGTAAGTTCCCCCTTCTGCACTATCAATAATAGCATCGATCCACTTGTTCTCTCTTGGCCCCCTCCCTGACCTCCCCCCCTCCCTTCCCATAAAAAAATCCTCCCTGCCCGACAAGTGTTTTTTTTTTTTTTTTTTTTTTTTTTTTTAACGGGGGGGAGGGGATGGGGGGAGGTTCTTCAGAAATACAGGGGGGCCCTTCAGAAAGTTCAGTCCAACGTACACATATCCTCCCATCAGCACCTCTTGTGACATTGTCAACACAATCAAGACGAATGTGCTCCCTTTTAACTTTTTACCTTTTTAACTTTTTACCTTTTTAACTTTTTAGTATTTACTAGTTTTTAACTTTTTAGGGTCTCGTTAGACACTCCGTACTAGGTAGGAACCCTCAAGTTTTCAGGACTGGTCCTTTAAAAAATTTACAGTCGTTTCACAGAAGGTTTCTTTTTTTTCTTTTTCTTTTTTTTTTTTTTTCACAGGAAGGTTAGGATTCTGCTTAGACTAGTCCTTGAAAATCCGTTTCAAGGACAATTCGTTGAAAAAATTGTCGATCTTAAACCGCCAGTACATGGCCCCAGGGGCCAAGTCCCACTAGCAGCGTTGAGATACCTCAACGCCTGAATCTGGACGTTTTTGCAGTGATGTGCAGAAATGGTGTTGAGCGTCCTGAGCTGCACGTCTCCACAAACACGTCCAGATTCAGGCGTTGAGGTAGCTCAACGCTGCTAGTGGGACTTGGCCCCAGCCTTGCTGAAAAGAAAACTCATCGCCTACGAAAATTTCGGAGGCCCAGTGCCTTAGATAAATTGAATCGGCGGCGGGCGGCCTCCGAAAAGGGCCAGCGACCAATAGCTGGATGTACTGGTGGTTTAAAAAAAAAAAAAAAAAAAAAGTTGCACTTCAGGCACCCCAGTCAGAGGACGCCCTCTCCACTGAACGCGTTTGTCCGAATTTGGAAATTCCAAAGAAGAACCTCAGTAGGTTCTATGTTGAAAACTGGAGCGATTTGGAAAAGGACGCGGAGAAGGCGGAGGTGTGAGACGAGGAGGAGGAAGACGGGGAGGAGGAGGAGGAGGAGGAGGAAGGGGAAGAGGAAGATGAGGAGGAGCTGTAAGACGAGGACAAACTCGAAAGAGGGAGGGGGGGAGGAGGAGAAGGAGGCGGCAGCGTAAAGACATCGAAGAAGTCGAAGAAAGGAAGAGAAGAAGAAGAGGGACGACAAGGAAGAGGGCACACGCCCCAAGTGGCACAGGGAGGAGAGCAAGGTGCACCATCACCGGCCTCCTTTTTCCTCCTGACATTCTGCAACCTGTTCTGCCATTGGCTCTCCATACTGATGATGATGAAGAAGACGATGACGTCAACAGACTGACAAAATCACACGACCCTGTTTTACCATACTGCTATCCCCCACGCAGTAGTATCCAGTCCACATGGATGGAAAGCAACAGAGATGACGTCAACAGACTGAAAAAATCACCCTTTCAATGCCCACCACATGGCATGACCTGTGGTGGGCATCGAAAGGGTGCATGCCAGGTGGCGCACGGAGGAGAGCAACGGAGGACCAGCAGCAAGAGGAAGACGACGAGGAGGGGGTGCCTAGGAGACCGATGGATGGAAAGAACTGCGATGCTTAGCAACCCCATGATGACCTCGACTCCCACTCAGCAAACTCAGGGTGGGGTCCTTTTGATTCTTTGGCACTCGAGCTCTGGTCATTAAACCACCAGTACCTGGCCCAGCTATCGAGTCCGAGCCTCGGCCGACCGGTACGCCGACCCGTGCCGAGGCTGGGACTACCGGGCGCAGGCATC